TATTTTCCATTTATTCTATAATAAACTGTTTTATTAATATTATTAATACATTAAAATTTACTTATCTTGATATACATTAAAATTTACTTATCTTGATTTGATTAGATTAAATTAGTCAGATTAAATATATAAAGTTGAGCATTTAAATGTTACCCTTGTAAGGTTACCCTTTCTAAATATGCTATTAATATGATTAATTATTTGTTAGGTATAAATTAAATAATTTTGATACACTCTTCAGAACATGAGTTAAAAAATTATGAATTTTTTTTTGTAAAAATTCGTAATATAATATATACATTAAAATAAATAAAATATAGGATTTTACCAAAAAATGATTAAGTGTATAACATAATTTGAAGGGACAAAGGGTCGATATTTTGTGTTTGAGTGAAGATTTATTTTGTACGGGAGTGGATATCATAGAGGGCCAAACCGGAGCCGTTGGGGGCCACAGCCTCCTTCAAGAAGCCATGTGCTTAGCTTCGCCTAAGTCACATCTAAAAGAACTCTTCTGAAAGCTTTCATCGACGCCTAAATTGCATTGGTATTTTTGTCAATTCATGCGCTCCATCAGGGACATTTCTGTCTTTTTATCAGCTTTCTTGTCTCTATTTTTTGGGCTCTGTTAGCGCTAACTGGTTCATTGACGGATCCAACTTGTTTAACTGGTTTGGGTGAAAGTTGTTTTATTAATGTGTAATATATAATAAATAAAATTTGGTAGACATTTTTAAATGATTACATATCCAAACATGCATTTTACAATACACATCTACACACTGACACACGCATATATAAACAAAAGATTTAATATTCATATATTGTTAAATTAGGCAAAAACTCTTTGAAGCCACTAGTTTTTTTTTAGTATTATTTTAGAATATTGCTTTTAGCCATTTTACGGGTTTAGCTTTGGTGCATAGCGGCATCAAGGCAGACTTTTTTCCCCTTGTTTCACACTAGCGGATACTATTTACTGTCAAATGCAAGGGTATTTTATTTTTTCAAACATTATTCAACTCATTTCTTTTGCTTCTAGCTTGACTCTGATTCATTCTCCTTTGATTCTTTTTACCCTTCTCACATTTTTTTTTTTACTTTCTCCCTTTTTTTTTATCTAAATTTTCTTTTCAGAATATTTTTTATCTTTCAATATATATGTATGCTACTCAATACTTAATGTCTTGAAAAATAAAATTTAACCAAAACTTTTAATACATGAGAGTAATGGCCTCTTTGCATCATTCCAAGTAGATCCGAGAATATAGGTTATGCTCTTTCAACTGTACCTGTTTAAACTTTTAGTTTGGACCTGAAGTTCTAAAAATTAGGATATTTTAATATAAAAGAATTTTTCAACTTGACATTTATAATATTGAGTATTTTTTGGATTACCTGTTGAAACCTGTATTAACCTCAGAAAATTGTGGTATTAATATTGTGTATTTTTTTGATTATGCACAAGTACTCTATTTGAAGTAATCTTATTTGAAATACGATCAATACTAAATATGATTATCTCTCCTAAAATTCAGATCTTAGTTACCATATTAGTAAGCGTTGAGTAATTTTTTTTTGGCTGTATAATGAGATTTATTTTTTATTTCTGTTTTTTATATAAGTTGAATGTCAAAGAAAATTTTATTTTTAAAAATATTAAGTATCGGATAGCAAGCATATATAATGAAAAATAAAAATATAGATTATTTTTTAAAAATAAAATGAATGGTTGGGATTTAATTATTTTTTAATCAACAAATTTTTATTGTTTATAAAATAATTATCATATAAAAAATAAATAAATTTAAACTGTTAAAAATTAACATGCACAGTTTACAATTGTATACTGTTATTAAAATTTTTTTTTTAGTTATTTTATTACAATTATACATTGTGTTAGTATAAGTTAGCATTTCACGGAAGATCCATATTCCATCATCATGTGAGAAAAGAGAGCGATGTGATAATGCAAACATATAATATTTCATATTTGTATTTTAAACTTCATCTCTATTTTTTAATCAAGATTTTTAAATTTTAATTTAATTAACCTTTAATTTAAAAAGTCTTTAATGACCATACCATATATGTGTGTGTGCATATAAATTTATAATCATATTATTTTTAATATATAAAATTAAATTTGAAATACGTGAATTAAACACAACAAAAAATGCTCAGAAAGTGCAATTCCGAATCACGATATTGAAAAAGGGGACAGTACTTGTTTTTGATGTCTTAATTAATTAACAAATTAATTACTTTTCATTCTATAGTCAGTCATTAACAAATTAATTATTTTAAACTCAACAATTGTCACATCATGAGCCTCTCCTATTTCGGCCTCATCATGCACATTGAATTCATGAATTGAACAACGTGAAATGATGATCTAACAGTCAACTTGTTTTATCACAATCAAACAGTGTCCATTCCCATGAAATCAAAATACAAAATTAAGCCGACCTAATCAAATTAATTTCTTCTCCGATCCCCTTTTAACACAGAATAATAAAGAAGAAAGATCGATAACAAATATTGAAGTAGAACTCTATACCAGATAGTCCGACCCATTTCATCTCATTACTGTTGACATTATTCAAAAAAACCAAAAAGAAAAAACCAGCGACCAGCAAATAAAGCTTCCATATTAACACTATATCATCAGCCAAGGAACCATGACCCATCCTCTCTCGTCGTCATCGTTATCGGCTGGAGCAACGTTTGTGTTGACTTTACTAGGCCAACTATATTGGACTCTTCCTGTTCTCGGATCGACCCAGCTCCAAAGTCCACAAAAGAAAGGAAAGCCTCAGCATCAGTAGGGAATCAATATCAGGGTGTTCATGGGAAGGGATTAATCCCTTGTACTAGACCTAATTGTTGTTGGTAGGCCTGGTGAAATTTTAATTAAAAAGAAAATACGCACATGGTTGATGATTACGATGACAACACTTTGCACTTTTTGGCCAGCTTAACGCAATTTCCAGCTACGGTCTCGGATGCACGGCACAGAAGAATTTGAGGGAAAAATAAATTATTCTTAAGTTTCCAGAAAAATGATTTCCTTTCAAAAAAAAAGTTTGATTTTATAAAAGGATAATGCTTGTTCAAAGTAAGGATTCAATTTATAATTTCCACGAGATCAATCCGAGGAAGATATGCTTTACTGAGGAAAAAAATTAAATTTAGGACAAAACCTCAATATGTCTAATAATGGGGATTGAATTTGTGCATATGTGTTCTAGTTTGATTTAATTAATTTCTTGCCTTTAAAGACGTGGAAAACAGATTAGTTGTCCATCAACATCAAATATTGAATGAAATCCCTGATACTCTCAGAAGAGTTAGAGGTTGACAAGTTGATCAAAAAAAGAATTAGAGGTTGAAAATTAAATCTCATTTCAATTCAAACGTTAATCAGGAAATTTATTAGATATGTCGTTCTCCTGTGTTCCTCAAAACGAGAGAGAGGATCACAGGATTAATCAAATTTTCTGTTTGTGTGTCTTACTTAATTATCTACTACTACTAGTAGTAGTAGGCGTTCTTAAACATTACTAGTACTCTCACCCTCGTGGTGGCTCTCTGACTTATCGTGTGCAAAGCTCAGACTCTCTCAAGCCTTGTTCTTCAGAGCTTGTGTGTGTTTGGGTATGTTCATTTTTTATTTATAGTTCCATGAATATCTAGGATGCTAACTCATTTAATTTTTAAAAATGATGCAGTCTAACTCCTAACTTTTATCATTAGTTGATCAAAAAATAATAAAAAAGGACATCAAAGATTTCAAAAGATGACCAAAAATTACAGTAAATAACTCTAAAAAATTACAGACAAGGATAAAAAAATATATAGAAAATGATCAAGAAACAAATTACATTGTTTTCAAAAATTACACTAAAAATGAGTTTACCTAGGGTCCTAGAAGCTCTTTGACATATAATTTAGAGATCAATTTGCTGTTTAACCCTTAATTTTTTCTCGTTGACATCTTGTTTGATTTTGTTGAGATTCTTGCATATATATATATATATATATATATACCGGTTTAAGTTTATTCTTCTGTGCGTTTGGGTTGTGTTTAATCTGTTTAATTTTATTCTTCTTGCTCATCTTGTCTTGTTTTCCTCTCTTCATATCAAAAACAATTATGGTAGCCTTTATCGTGTCTATGTGGTGTGTGCGTTTGGCAATGGGAATATTGATGATATTGACAAACTGAAAGGAAAAAAAAATAGTGTTGAATCGTTGATGAATCTAGCTAAGTGGTGCACGGTGGGCTGATATGTTTAAAATGTAGGCTTCTTTAAGAATATATATGATTAAATAATAGAGGAATATTTAGAAAGGTTAAAGGACAAATTTGCTTTAAAAACTTTTTCTCTAAATGCACCTGGTAACCTTAATTTTTTATTGGATGCATTTTGATGATGATGAGGATGAAGATGGTGTTGAACATTGGAGGATCCGTTAAAGGGTGACTTGGTGATGAGCTGAAGGATTCATTATCATCATCTTCTTCTTAAGCTTGGTGTTCCACTACTTCTTAATATCGTTATCAGTCCTTCCAAGCAACTGAGATGCTATCACTGACCACCACCTTCACTTTGTCACAGTATTGTGAATTTGACAGTAATATATACATCAGGGTGGTGGTCAGTGATAGCATCTCAGTTGCCTGGTAGGACTGATAACGATATTAAGAAGTAGTGGAACACCAAGCTTAAGAAGATGATGATAATGAATCCTTCAGCTCATCACCAAGCCATGCGCCCTTTTTACCGGTCCTCCGAAGTTCAATGCCATCTTGATCCTCGTCGTCATAATGTATTCTACAAAAAGTTAAGAATACATTAAGGACTACTGGAACACCAAGCTTAAGAAGAAGATATACTCCTATAATTATCTCGGTCGCCTATGACCACGATCGCCAGCATATATCCACCTATCTGAGGCTCACTAGAATGGTCACTCATACAATTCATGACCAAAGCTAATAAATAAGTAAAAACAATTTATTTCTATCAAAATAATTACAAACCAAGACTGGAACAAATAAATGTAAAGGTGACTTCCAACATCGGTTTCAGTAAGAATAATAATCCCTCCGCTTGTTTTTTTCCCCCTTATCTTTCACCTGTATATAAACATATAGTTCCAAAATCCAGAGACTCGCCTTTAACACACTTTAAAAAAAAAGAAAAAAAAAAAAGAAAAAGAGCTCACGAAACTAGAGTTCATCAACTATGACAGCAAACCCAATATACCATAGATAGAAGGCATAGAATATGAAGAAGACAATGATCAGCCAAGCATATTTATCGAGACCCCATATCTTTGAGATGTAATATTTAATTGTCTCTATACCTTGCGAGACACAACCCAACTTCATGGGTCGTCCCTCTGATAATACGATGATGCTTGTTCCATGATCAGGGAAGACCCACTTTTCCATTCCCGGCTCCTTCATCAAGCACTGAACACCAGGATAATCCTGAAGTCCTCGCATGTCAATTTCATTGTCGGACCCACCTATGTTGCACAAGATAGTACCCTTTTTCATATTCTTCATATGGTCAACCTTGATAACAGGGTCCTCACCGGCGTCGCCACGGCCCACACCGGAGTAAACAATTATGTCAAAGTCGGAGAAAGCATTCTCATTATTGGTTGACGGAACGGGTTGCCTATTGATATCCCAATAGTGGAAGTAACCATCCTGGACCACCACCACGTGAGCTCCGGCGTTCATCAGGGTAGAAGCACATTCCTTTCCGGCGTCACTATAACCCAAAACGGCAACTTTTTTCCCCTCAATTTGCCCTTGGTGGCTCTCTTTAAAACCCCGGGCAGAAAGTAGCGATGGCTTTGCAACAGTGGGACCTGCTAACGAGTGGACAGAATTGAACAGAAATGAGACCAAAGGAAACCGAGAGACCCCCAAAAAATAAATAAATAAATAAATCCATCTCCCAGCTGGGTAACAAACGTGATTAAATCTAACAGCCAAATTCAACAAGAAAGGAATCAAAAATGGCATATTTGAGTTGAAAGAGTTACCTCATCAGTATTATCGAGTTCCCTTGTTGCATTGATAGCATGAGTGCCTCGCAGGGCTTCCATTGCCATTGAGTATAGGAACTCAAAATCAGTTACGATCCACTTGTTCTCGTTCTTAAGAATGAAATTTCTGGATTCAGTATTATCAGAACCTGTCGTATCATACTCATCATCGAGAGGACTGTCGCAGATGATCACATCAGGAGAATCGGAACCCCAATCTTGTGCAAGGTTCATAAAGCGTTTGTGCTCTTCAAGAGTCTGGTCTTGTTTTCCGAAGACAGGAATGCCGTTATAGGTGACCGCAGCAGCAATATCGTCCCTTATAAAGGACCTGGTTGATGAACAAACACGTACACTGGCGCCGAGCATAGCAAAGGTTTCGATTACTACTGCTGTTTCAGCTGTTATTTTAAGCATAAGGGTTATTCTTTTGCCTTTGTAAGGTTGGGAGGAGATACGATTGTTACGGAAACTTGTGATCGCTGGCAATATCGCCTCGGCTTGCTCAATATTTCGGCGGCCGGAGGGGGCAAGTAAGACCAACTGTGACGCCATTGTGGATCGCACAAGAAGATTGGTTCGGTTTTTTCTTTTTTTGATGGGGGGTGTTTTGGAGGGGAAGTGAGGGAAGGATAAGAAGGGAAGTGATGAGATAAAAAAAACGGCTGTCTTGTGGGAAAAATTGAAGAGAGACGCCTCCCCTCCACTTGTTTTGCTCCCTTTTAATTTGGGGGGTTCTTGAAGTTTTTTATTAATTTTATTATGTTCTAAATATCATTGTTTTAATTAAATAAAAAACATGATGCCACTTCTACATGTCATAAACTATCTGTTACTAATTGCTATATATATATATATATGTCTTGAATTCTAATCCTAATAAAATTAATGATATAATTTGTTAAAATTAATCAAATAACTTTTTTCAAAAAAATATATTACTAGAATTTATCATAAATAATTTTCTAATTGAATATCATAAATAGATGAGATAAAAGATTAATTTTAAAAATAAAAAATAAAGTCTGATATAAATGCATTTTTTTATAAAAGAAAAAGAGTAAAATAACATAAAAGCATATATGTCATTATATAATTAACTCCTCTCTCCTCCCCTCTCCAACCAAACAAAAATCCTTCTCCAGTCCTCATTTCCCTCCAAATCGAGCAAGAACACATTAAAGCCAAATCCCTCCCCTCCCTCACATCCCCTTCCCTCCACTTCATTAACCTCCCCTCCCCTAAACCATACCCTATGTTATACAAGCTCATTGAGGCGGCAAACAACCGGGTAGGTAAGTAAATTATAATACGACGTCGTATCTCAAAATATCAGTAATTCTCTGCTGCTCCGCAGTCAAAGGAGGATTAATGGTTTTTGCTGGCCTCACGTGTAGGTGGCTTTGTATGTGTGTGTGTAAAGTAAAGAAGAAATTGAGATTATAAAGAAGAATTTTCTAAGGGCGATCTTTTTTCTCGACAACCAACAAAAGAAAAGCAGCAAGAAGATGATGAAGAATATATATATATATATATATATATAATGTACTAAAAATCAGATCGAATATTAAACCAATTAAGATACTGATTCAAAAGTTAATAGTTAAAATTATGATCAAGATACTGATTTAATAATTTATTGACTAGTTCAACTAGAAGGGCCAACCTAAATTTTTATACTATGAATATAAAGCATAAGCGTGTGAACACAATAGTGATTATTATCATAATGTGTGTGAGACACTGGCTTGGTAATTTTTATGAGTAAGTGTATATATTATAAGGACTAATATGATCATATCTCCATCTCTTCAAAGCTAAAAAATTAAAGGAACCTTGTTTCACACACACTCACACACTAACTCAATATCTGGTTAAAAGGAAATTAAATTTTCCCGTGAAGTTTTTACTAGGTCTATAGTTAATATCATTAACTTTTGATTGATGTATTATTCTCTAAAAGTTTCCAAAATTGTTAAAATTTTATTTTGAAAGAGCAATTAACTAAACTTTTGAATTACCATCAGAATATATTCCTTTCAAACCTTTTGAAGTTTCTGTCTTCTCTGGAAAACACAGAACAACAACAACTAAAACATAAAATTAAACTAAAGCTTGTCTCTTGGCTATACATCATTAACTAAAACACATCTCATGAAAAGGAAAATATAATTAAGCAAGAAATTAAAAGAAGCTTTAGTACTTCACCTGGAAACTTCTTCTTTCGTCCTTCTTCCATCTCAATCTCAAAGGCTAGCCCTTTCAATTCCTTGTTTCTCCGATCCATGCCTTCAGACTTCATGCGTAAAGCATAGCAAGCTTCAATATCACGACACTATTCTGTGTACATATCGTTCCATAAGAATTAATCGTGACCACTAATTAAGCTCCAAATTAAATCCCTACAAATGAAGATGAACACGAACTCATTCTGATCACAACGTCCTTTTACAAACTCAGATTCAGAAAGCTCTAGCTCATGAATCCTTCCAGCTATGGGGAGTGAGAGAGAGGGAGAGAGGGGCGGAGAGAGAGAGCGCCCCATAATTCCACCTGGAGGATGGTTCAAATGGCAATTAATAAAGCATGCATCTTTCAAGTATAAGTCACTCGGTCAGCTAGCAAAATATATATATATATATATATATGTATGTATGTATGTATGTATATATATATATATATGTGAATTTATTTATGGACAAAATTATTAGAATGAAACAAATAAAATTAAGGGATGGTAATGAAGCCAATTGATTTTAAGGATGAACGTGAATATTAAAAAAAAAAGAAATAATTTAAGACTAATTAGAAATATGCATAGGAGAAAAAGCCAAAAAAAAAAACAAAAATACAAGGAAAAAAATACGAATCTCATCGTCCCCAAGACAATCACTTTGCCGCCACCACGAATATATAAAATGCATAAAGACGAGTTAGGCAGGAAACCACGAAACACCATCACCGATCCACCAACTAGCGTGCAGTGGTTGAACCACTAATAATGTATATTAGTTCTAATAATGTAAAATAAAAAACGCCCACTTGCTAGCTCTAATTCAAAATTATGCACAAATTATATTTTCATAATCATATATTTGAGTTTTGATTTGATTATTTAATTTTATTAAATTCCATCTTAATCCTTTTAAAAAGAACAATAAAAATCTTTCTCTTCTCTAATACCGGTAATGCCTTTAGTTTCCATGATGAAAACTTGCTTCCTTGCAATTGAGTTAAATTATTAAGTCATTCATGTGTGTTATATGCATAAGGAGGCTTTGAACGCTTATTTTCTCATACCCTACCCAACATATTTAATTTTTCTTGTACATGAATTTAAAATAAAAATACAAAGATTTCATATAATTAATTGGTTGTAATTGAAAATATTTTATTAAAAAGTATTATAATTTAAAAATATTTATTGATAAATTAGAAATTCAAATGCATTGATATCACCTTGCTTTCAAAATATTATAATGGACAATGATTTTTTTAATTTCTCTTTATCAAACAAAAAAGAGTCGTTGAAGAATGTTCAATTTGGCAGCGACAACTGTGCCTACAGGAACTGGAGAGGCATTTATAAAACAAAATAACAATTAATGTGTACAATCAGATGAATTATGAGAATATTAATTACCATCGTATCCCAAATATAAGTCACAATTGTGAAAATCTGTTAAAGTTAGTTGTTGCCATAAGATGTCTTCCGAATTGAATTTTTTCCAAGTATGTCCTTGATAATTAATTGAATCAAACTTTAATTGTCTCCTACTATTTCTCTCTCTTTATTTGTTGATTCCCGATATTTAATTAAGTAAATTTGTAAACAAGATAAGCATTTAATAATTTAGGTGCGATTTATATTTTGGATCCTAGATCTTTTAAAAATAAGTCACTTATATGGGAGCTATAATATTACTCCCCCCATCCCTATATATAAAGGGTGGTGATGATATTTTTGAATAATTAAACAATTATACTTTTGTCTTGAAAAATGAAATAGATCATTGATTGTATATTTTTTTCTGCCATCACTATGATATTAATTATGATATTATAAGAGGTAAAACTGAAAAATTATTATGTCTTTATGTGACTTCAACTAAATAACAAACCTTTATTAGTATGTGAGATTCAATTAAAAATATCTTTTATATATATATATATATATATATAAGGATGGAGGAAGTATATATATAACACAGATGAAATAAATCAAATTCTTGGGTGTTAAAGATAAATGTAACACCTTATTCATGCTTAACAATATCATGATATAAAAGAAAAAAAACCCGGCTAAATCAAATAGTATACAATTGTAAGAAAATGATTGAACTAATCACAACTTGTTAGTACTGTATAAAAGATTGAAACCCAACAAAGAAATTGCCACATTGTAGTGAGGGTGAAAATGCATCCCTTCATTTTAAAAAAAAAAAAAAAAGGGTTAATGAGTATCATAGATTTTAAACCATTATTAAAATAATACTCTAACCCTTGAACTTTTAAAATGAGCAAAAACTTTTCTCAATTTATAAATTTTAAACAAATTATCCCCCACTGCTTATCTGCATAACATTGACATAGTTATGTAACTTAACTGGCATGCCACATGTCAAGAGGGGATTAGTACTACATTATCCTTTGATTGGGCCTTCCAAAGCCAAAAATAATGACAGGGGGTAATTTGTGATTTGAATAATAATTTAGGATCCATAATGGTCATATTAAAAATTTAGGGTTTAATATACTATTTGAATAATAGTTTAGAGTCTAAAATACTTGTTAACTGAAAAAATATACAAGTAATTAAGATATATAAATTTACAATTTGGCATCCTTTACTCTTGATTTGTAAATTATAAAGGGGAAACAGATGATTAATCTATTTATATTATTACAATTTAGTCCCAATGCAATTATTATTTTTAAAAATATTATTAGCTAGTTTTTAAATTAAATTATTTTGTATCCGAACTTGACTCAAGATTATGCATGGCTCCTTTGACATTGTTGTTTATCATGGCAATAAAGAGTTTATGATCATGATAGAAAAGAGACAGACCCCTCAAAGATAATTATAAAAATATAATTATAAACAAAACCACTTTATATAACTCAAGTTGTGATGCCAAATAAAATTACACATGTGCATAACTCATACTTTCAAAAGTCAACAATAATCAATACATAGGGGCATATGTACAGTCAAACGCATAAGTTTTTTTTGACCAAAAGTCAAACGCATAAGTTGAATCATTATTGTTGAAATTTAGTATAAGTTCTCTTAGTTTTAATACAAATCCTAGCTCATGACAACAATTGTAAACAATAAAAACGCATGTTCATTAAGTAAAATAACGAGGCCAATACAAGATCCAAACCTCTTGTATTTTCCCTTGCCTTCTACCAACTTTCTCACATGAAAATATTGAGAGAATAACCATCGGATCTAACGTTTTAGTAACCGTAAGTTATACATCATTAAATCAATCAACGAGACAAGAGTTTAGATATACTCCTATCACACTCACGACACTAATTTTTTTCTTAATTAGGGAAGAAAAAAAACATTTTGACCCTTTTATTTTACTATTTTTAATTATATCACCCTCCCAAAAATTTACATTTCACTCAGCCTGATGTTTAGTTTGATCTTTTAAGGATAAATTATAGCCTCATAAAAGAAAGGAATTGAATACACGACATTGTACCGTCATCAATGACAATAAATAAATAAAAGTGCTCAGCGCACAATAATAATCACATAGATAATAATTAAAAATCACTGATACAAGACATCTTGCTATCATTATCTAACTCATGGATAAAAAAAATAGCCATCCATTTTCCATTAAAAAAAAAAGAGTTGCACTTTTTCGAATTTAATTATTTAATCTCGCACGCGTGGAAGAAAGACTCTTCCAATCCTATAAATCCCTATAATGTTGGTCATAAATGAAACAAACCACAGGTTGACTAAAGCATGAACTCAGCGCCAGCCAAGTAATAAGCTGCCACAAGACTCAACATAAAGAAGAAAATCATCAACAAAGCATACTTATCCACACACGATATCTCCTTCGTTATATCCAATCCCATCTCCTCTGAAGTGAGGGCTACATCATCGCCTCCATCGGCCAAATTATCGGACCCGGCCGGTTTTTGGGCCAACCCAGATCCGGAGTGATCAAAGTAAGGGATGGCCATAGCCAAATCCTTATCAACAAGCTCTTCAAATTTATCAGGGTGTGCTGGGACCCGAGCCAACTTCATGGGACGTCCCTGACCTAATACGATGATGCTTGGACCATCCCCTGGGAAGACCCATTTGTCTATTCCTGGGGTCACGGTCAAGCACTTGATACCTGGATAATTTTCAAGGCTGGTCATGTCAATTCCACCACAGGAACCACCTATGTTGCAAACAATAGGATTGTTTTTTCATTTTCTTCATAAGGCCAACATCGATGGTGTCCTTGTCGCCGCCGGAGAAAACAAGCATGTCCATCACAGAGAAAGGATCTTCATGGATCGTATCTGAGGGCCAAAACATGGGATTATCATCCCCATGGAAGCGACCATCCTCATACACGAACACATAAGCACCACGGTCTGTGAATGCATCGCTACACTCCTTGCCAGCGTCACATAACCCCACACGACAACTTTCATCCCAGCGATATTCCCATTGGTGGCTTGCACCACTAAATCAGGCACTTTGTGGAGCCAAAAGTGCAAGGCAGGGACCTGTTATTAATAGAACAAAACAGACATTTAATTAAGTAATTAATGAATTCTCAGAGTATTAATAAGATAGCCTGAAAAAGAGAGACATCCTGAAACCCTATGTTTTCCTTAGAACTTTGTCTTGTGCAAAACAGAGAAAACCAGACGTCAAAAGACAAGAGATTATGGATAGAGAACCACTTATTCCACAAGAAATCAGGTTTTACAGGGTAATTAAGTTCTATATTCTAGATACTTGCAATCTAAAACAACCCACAACAAACATAAAACACGACCATTTTATCGATAAACTCTTAGATCTAAACATGGCCATATTCGTATTGAGTTACCTCAGAATCCATGAAAGTGAACTTCCTTCGATCGGTATCATCGAATCCCCATCTGACTTTAACTGCTTTCGGGTAAAATAACTCAAAAGCAGCAACGATCTGTTTGTTCTCGTCATTAATTTGACAACTCTCGATGATTTTGTGAAACCTATTGGGATCCATCTTCAACGCGTCTCTAATAACGGTGAGAATAATCTGGGATTCCTCATCCTCACCAGATGAAGGGTCTGGGAACTTTCCGGTCTTCTTGTACACCTCTTCAGCTTTTAAACCCTCGCAGATGAAATGCGAAGCATCAGAACCGTGGCAGATAATCACATCGGGATTATCAGAACCCCAATCGAGTGCTTTCTCCATGAAGCGTGGGTGTTCCTCCAGGCTCTGGTCCTTCTTAGCGAAGACGGAGATGTCGTCACAGGCGATCGCAGCGGCAACTTCGTCATCGATCGGCGAGCATCTGTCGGAGGAACAGACGTGAACTTTGGCACAAAAGGCAGAGATGGTTTCAAGGAGTACAGCGACCTCCGGAGTTATGGTGGGGACCATAAGGGTGATTCTTGCGCCTTGGAAAGGTTGTTTGGAAGCACATGAGATGCGGTAAATCATGATACCCATCAATTTCTCCTCGGCAAGCTCGATCTTTTGGCGGCCGTAGTCATGGCGGATAGCGGCGGAACTCTCAACCAGAGAGTTCATAGCTGGGAAGCACACAGGAAATTGCTCGAGAAGTATGGGTGTTCAGTCTAGACCATCCCAACTGACCCGGTATCATCCCGATCATATTAGGACGGGTTTTGTCCCGGCCCGAAAATAATCGAGACGGGACTTCACGGGGCAGGACAGGAAAGGGGTTCGGGACGGGACGAGACACGGGATTACCATCGGGACGTCCCGTCCCGTCCCGAATATTATATATATATTTTTTATTTTAAATATATTAAATATATTAATATAATTTATATTTATATTAAGTATATCAATTATAATTTTAATACTTGCAATTCTTATTTAAAACTAAAGTTTTTTTATATTAATAATTTTAATGGCATGGAGTAAACATGGCGATATCTTTCTTTATAATATATTAATTATATTAATATAATTTATTCTTATATCTATCTATTTAATAACTTTTATTTATAACATATTTCTTGCTTATTTTTAGAAGAGTAATTAGCTTAGTACATCTTCATTAAAGTAGAAGAACAATGATTTGATGTTATGTTTGACTTGCCTGTTGTTACTAATCTTATAACATAAAGATCGCTTATATTTGTTATTATAATATGTAGTTGTGATTAATATAATTCAATAACTAATTTTAAATTATTGTTATTTATGTGCTTGTGTTATTTTGATTTTAAACTTAACAAATTATATGATTTAAAATTTTAATGAACGTTATTACCCAGATTTTTTTCCGACATTATTTCATTTATCGGGACGACGGGATGTCCCGATCTTATCCCGATCCCGTCCCGACTCTTAACGAGATGGGACGACTTTCAGGACGGGATGGGATACAGGACTAAAATTCAGTCCTGATTTTTTTTTCGGGATAAAACACGAGACGAGAGTGTTTTAATCACGTCCCGTCCCGTGAACACCCCTATCGAGAAGGGAGAAGACGGAAGCGAGTGGAAGCAAAAGTGTGAAAGCACCAAGACGAGTTGAGAAATTTGACTGAGCCATTCCCGTAGGGCCTTTTTATGGTGGTTTTGAAACGTGGCAGGTTTATGTCCGTTTGATTAGATCAACTTTGGACAACCCACCTTCGTCTTTTCCGTTGACATTTTTTTGGCAGGAGATTGATCTGTGAAATCTTTGCAGTATTCTTTTTTTTTTTTTTGACCTGAAGGAATCTTTGGAGAATGATTCTTTGAAATTGGAACCTTTGCATCTATCACGGAATCGGTAATGAGCACCGTGGTGTTCAGTATCAAAACACTGCCGTTTGACAGTGTTTTTTTTTTTTGCTTTTTTTAAATCATAAACTCATTATAATAATAAAAAATAAATATTATAAAATTATTATTTTAATATTTAATAAATAAATAAATATTAAGGTGTTAAAATTAAACATGAATAGTTTGAGTTATTAAAATTTGACTTGAACAGTTCATATATAAATTTTGATTTGAACAGTTTAGGACTGTATTAAAAAAATTAGAATTGAAACAAAAAATATTTTATTTTTTATTTTATTAATTTTGCACAGCTGCTATCTATAAAAAGTAATATTATTCAAGACATGATTAGGTATTAAATATAGATACTTTTCTTAACAAGAATTTAAATATTGATTTGTTACAGTATAAGAAATTAACTTATTTTGCTAAACTCAACCTCAATTTTAAACTATTCAAATCATTTTTTTTATTGTATTCAGTATAACTCTAAACTGTTCAAACTAAAATTTTTATTTGAGCTACTCTAATTTAATTTTAACATCTTAGTATTTATTTGTTTATTAAATATTAAAATAATATTTTTATACTATTTATTTATTTATTATTACAATGAGTTTGTGATTTAAAAAAAAACACTATCGTTTGGTGCTGAGCACCACGATGCTCATCCTAAAATGAGCACCGAAACCAATTCTCATCTATTACTTGTGATGCAAATAATGCAACACAAACAACCATGTGTGCATATAACAAACTCTTTTATATCTATTTATAAGATAGAAATAATTTTTTTAATCCTATTTATAAATTATTATTAATTTAAAATAAATTGTTAAAATTTAAATGGATATTTGTTGATAAAAGATTAACCAAAATTAATAATATTTATTTAAATTTTAACAATAATTAATTCTTAATTGATATAAATTTTCATCATTAGTTCTTGAATGCTATTTTGTCAACTTTTAAATTAACTCTCCAAGTTTATCTTTTATATTTTTAACTTATAAAATTGTGTTAATTTAATCATAAATTAGGATTAGATGTAAATTCGGTTAAACTCTTGAAACTCATTGATTTTTGACCTAGTTAGGAAAATAAAACTTAAAAAAGGACTAACATGTGTGAAATTCTATTTGTAAAAAAGGTAGCACCCAGTTCAAAGGAAAATAAAACTTAAAAAAAGAATATTAATAAAAAAGAAAACCAAAAATATAAAAAATAAGTTTCTCTAAATTTGAAAGTTTTATGTTGAGTATGATAATTTGTACATAGATTTATTTTCAATGATTTTTATTTAAAATATATTTAAATTAAATTATAGTGATATTTTTTATTTCAATTATTTAATCATATATTTTAATGGCTATTTATATGAGTAAAATCTTACAAGCTTAAGATTTGAGTTTATATCTCCATCATGAATTTACTTAAACTTGCAAGTATGATAACTCTGTATGTGGGATAATATTTGAAAAGAAAATGAAATTTTATGCTTTAGTTCTAAAAAAAATACAATTGAAGTCATTAAAAAATATGATTTTGAATAGATATAAAATTTTGAATTTTCCAATGAATAATTTAATACTCCGCTAGGTGATAAAAATGATTAAGTACATTTAAGTTTATTTTCAAATTTAATTGAATAATTGTGAAATTGAAGAATAAATATTAAGAAAATGAAGTAAATTTGATTTGAGGTATTTTTTTTCAATACTTCTGTATTTGATGAAAGAAAAAGGACGGAAAACTAATACTATTTGTGTACCCGTAATTTATAAAAGTGAAGTAGAATTTACATTATTTCATTTATTATTAATTATGTTGAAATATTTCTAAACGACAAGTGGGCGACTTTGATTATCAAAGTCAATGATTAATGAGCATATACGGAGAATGGGATTTATTCAAATAATGAGTTCGTTTTCAGGTTTCTCGTTCGTTTTTTGTTTTTTTAATTATTAAACCGTGAAATGAGGGGCGCGAAGAAACTGCACGTGGACAGAGGACAAGTTGCTTTGCTCTTGAGTCTCGAACCGAACCACGCTACACCACCGACTTTTCTTCTACTTTTTTGGTATTTACAATTAGGAGGATGACTGAGAAATCTTCAAATAAATAATTAATTTAAATTAAATTTTAATTATTAAATTTTATAAATTTATAACATAATTTTTTAATTTTACAATACCATTGTAATAAATTTATAATTTATATTCTAAATTTTAATAAAAAAAATTAATTTTTTTATTCTTTAATTACATTAAAATTTAAAAAATAAGTTGCAGATTCATCACAATGCAATTATAAAATTAAGAGATTGAGTTATAAATTTTTAAAATTTGATACTTAAGACTTAAATTAATTGATTTGTTTGGGGACCTCTTTCTCATTCTCCTTTTACAATTTTACATTCTTCCAATTCCTATTTTACTTCAATATTCAATTGCCCTTTTTAATTTTTTTTTGGAACTTATTATTGAGTTGCTTCTCAACTCACAGTTCTCGGCAGAATTTTTATTTTTTATTTTATTTCATTCATTTAATTAGCTTATCTTCTTTAATTTCTTATATCACACATCTTTTTAAAATTTTTAAATAATATTTAATCCAAATGTGCAACAAAGTTTGATTTTAGTTTTTGGAAAATTTGTTAAAAGGGACTTGAAGAGATTGGTATTGCAATTTGAACCTTGATGTATGCAAGCTATTCAATGAAATGTGTGATAACGGAGCTATGAATCGATTGAGTGATTAAGTGTGGTCTATATGTAAATACTATTGCTTAAAGTATAGTTATGTATATTCACCCCAAAAAAAAGGTTGTGAATGTTAAAATAGAGTTGGAAACACAAGTTTAAGTAAAATGAATATGTTGAAAAGAAAGGCATTCATACAAAATAACAAAGAAATCGTGAAAACTTTAAGATATGAATTATGGTGTATTGAAGGTTTAAATTTATGGTAGTTGATTACGGTTGTATTAATATTAGAAGAGAATTTATTTAACATTAAGTAGAATGTTTATATTAAAATTCTTTATATATTTAATAGGGTTTTGAGAGAAGAGAACTTAAATGAAATTGTAAGGAGGAAATTATATCATGTAAGTAAATAACATTCTCTAATAAATAAAAGTGATGTTTTCCTATTCACTCATTCCTTTTTATTCTAGATAAATTTCTTTATTTTACCTTTATGATTAAAAAGCGTTGAGTCTCGAAATGCTCAACATGAAGTATGCAAATAAGATATAAAAAATATAGTGTGAGAAAAAATATGAAATTAATTAGAGTAATTTGAAAAGAATATTAAAAAAGTGTTTTACCTGTTAAAAGTTGTAGGAGAAGACAAACTAGTTAATTTGGCTTCAAAATGTCACCAAGTCTTTCTCACATACACTTGCCCCTTTCTATGTACTCTCACTCACTTTTCTTTGTTTTTACTTTTTATCATGAAGCAAAATATTTCAGCCACTTTTAACTTTTCTCAAGTCTCTAATCTATCTTATAATATTAAGAAACATAAATCAATCATTAAAAAGTAAATCATAACTTAAATTGGTTTTACAAGCTTTTTCCTTCCTTCTTTTCCTCTTTAGATCTTTCCCCGTCTTCTCTACTCTTAACAATTAGAGGTTGTGGACTTGTGGCCACAGAACAAAGCAGTGGACTGTGAAGATGGCGGCAACATGTTGATCAAGAATGACTTTACAACTTCAAAATATGTTACTTATTTTTTATATTTCTTGTTTTCTTTTTTATATTTATATCAATTTTTGTCTTTTAAATTTTATTTTTCCTTGAAGCAG